GGGAGGTCAGTCACCGCCTCGGGGCTCTTCTGCCCCGGGCGCCTGTGCTCCCCGGCGTGGGATAGGAGGCGTCCGGGGGAAAGGCTGCTGGATCCCTAAGACCACCAGGGGATGCAGAAGGAAAGTTGCATCTTTAAAGATTAAAAAAAACCCCAAACAAGCGAACCTTAAGCAATAGCGTTTCAGCACTCCAGCGAGAAACCAGCAGGGCGCAGGGACCCGCTCCTGCACAAACTCCCCGTGGGCTCCGGCTCCCGCAGCGGTGCGGGCAGTGACCTTGCAGAGGTGCTCCTTGGTCTTGTCTGTACTTTGCATCAGCTGGGCCCAGCAGATGGAAGGGGGATCCCTACTGCCAGCACCAGCAGTAATTAACAGCGTTGTGTGATGGGAGTTGTGTGCAGCACAGAAACCGTTAACAAAAATGCCTGATTCAGTTAATTTCTAATTTCTGCGATGTATTTAGTGTGCCATCTGTACCCATACACTACAGAGGAGAAAAAGAAATTTTAAGGCTTTCGGTTTGTTGATGGAACATCTTGCAATTCAGTAAGGAAAGACCTATTATTATTGTGTGTTCTGTGTGTAACTAGAAAGAGATTGTAAAAAATTTTTCCCGGTAGTTTTTGCTTGAAATTTCTTTGAACTTTTTGCTCAAATGCCAGACAAACACTGCAAAATGATAGAAATGTTGCTTGGTTTGGGAGGTGTCATCATTGCTGCTAGTACAGACACTGACATTGTCGCTGGTGGCATTTGTGTGGTAAGGGCCACTGACACCTTGTGATGCATGCCAGTGGCATCCCTGTTTGGGGAGTAAACGTTGGTTTAGTGCTCTGGCTCCAGTACAGACCCGTGTCTGCTCCAAGCTTGAGATTCCTCTGCAAAGTAGCCTGAAGTGAAACCTAGGGTGACAGGGTGCACTGGCACTGCATAGTGGACTTAGTGCTAGGTTGCTCATCCAAGGCTCTGATAAGAATCCCACTGTTCCTAATTTACCTCACTAGAAGTTGAAGATTCAAGGCTAATACAAAATTCCATTAAAATCACATTAAGTCTCTCTATATGCCTCTTAGTTAACTGTAAAAGCACAAGCTTTGCAATTTTTCCCTAAGGAGAAGACTGAGGAAACTTCAACAAATCTGACTCCTAGAATCAGCTCATTAGTCTCACAATCAAGGATGACATTTGTCATCTTTATTTATCAAGGTAATGAAACATGGGGCTCTTTTGGGGCAGGGTGATCTACCAGATACAAAATAATTATTCCCCATCCCGTGAAGTTACCTATGGACATCTCTTTGCAGATCTGTAGGAAGTGGCCTCGATCTCCTCGGACCGTGGTTTCATGGACAGCTCAGCCTGCATAATGTTTAGCTGCTGCTGAATGGGGAGATGTGCCCCCCCCCAACCCTGTTCCTACTCCCCACTCCCTGCTGTGTTGTCCCACCTCCTCCCTTGTGCCTGCTCGTGTACTTCTTGCACTTCTTGGGAGCAGATCCAAGGTGACGATCCGGCGGGTAGGTTAGTTTTATGATCTGCTGACTGCCAGAACCCACAGAAGATAGGTGATGGGAACGTGGAGCGAGGATGCAAGGAGAGGAGGTAGTGAAGAAATGAGATCTCCCATTTTGGCAGCAGTGAGCTGCTGGGTCAGCTGGAACCGTCCTGTGAAACCGCACCCCAAATTGTCTCTCTTCCCCCAATTTTTTGTTAGCTTTGTTCTGTTTCTCTGTTGGGATACTCTATGCAAAGGGTTAGTTTTCTTCAGTTTTCCAGGCAATAAAAGCCACAAAATATGTGACAGAAAACTTGCCGTTAGACAAGTTTTAGCCAATCCTGCATTTAAAGTTTCCATTTTCCTGTCCAAGATAAGTGCATCATTGTAAAGGCTAAATGAAAACGTGGAGGGTTGTCAGGATCAAAGACAGGCTATCTCAGCAGCCTTTGGGGCAGGCAAACAGATGATAGAAAACCAGCGCGCACACACACACACGCGCCCAAGGAAACGTACTGTACTCTATTCTTAGCGATGCTTACAAATGCAAGATAAGCCCTGGGCGGGAGCCATGCAGCCAGACAGGTGATGATGTGTGTATTTGGGTGAAAGTGCACATGAGCAAGTGTTGCATGCTGCACGATGAACGCATAACTTGGGAGTAAAAGTGTAAAATGAAACTGTGAGCATGGTGTTGCTTACACCAACCCAACCAAACGTAGGTATTTAAAGCACTCTCGTACTAGAGTAAACAGCGCATCTGTCTAAACTCAAATACTTATGAGAGCGGCTTGATTTACGTTTCTTGCAAAGTTCCTATTGTCCACCTCGCCTCAGCCACACGCGTTGCCACATAGCCCCTGTTCCTATGGCCTGTTTGCTCCACTTCCAGCCCTCTCTGGCAGGGACCTCCTCATGCAGTGAGGGCTGAAGTCATCCAAGCAGCACCTTGGTGAGCCTGGCTTTGCAGACTGGCAGTGTCAGTGGTGGGGATGGAAGCCCTGTGCCCCCTTCCCCTCCCCAGCCAAGTGCATGCTGGCTAGGGGTGGAAAAGGTGGAGGCCAAAGGGTTTCTTCCATTTCCTTGTTCCTGTCTCTCGGTTGCTTGTGATCTGTTTCTCCTTTGCGAGGTCAGGAGCCTCTGCCCCGGTGTCTGCTGGCACCCGGGGAGCTGGCTGCTGGCTCATGTTGGCACTGGGCTTGCACCCACCAGCTTCAGTCATGAGCTCTTTGTAGGATAGGTCCATAGGTAGGGTGATTTATGGAAAAAGAAACAGGACCTTGAACTGTGTTTTAGCTAACATGGTAAATTTTTACATCCCATGGAGTCCTCTGCCTCTAACCCCAGTAGCTGGCTGAGCAAATACCTAACTCATACTTTTGGTTAATGGGAACATATTTTTTAAAGTGAGGACTTCTGAAGTTTGGCTGTTGATAAGCCTTTTAATTATCAAGCTGACAGCCATGAAACAAAGCAGAAGATCTCAGCAGTGTGGCACTTCGGGACAGACCTTTGGCAGCTTCTTGCTGCCATGGAGAAGACTTGGAGAGCAAGGTGAGAGCTGGGATAGGCACGATCCAGCTGTGGGCTCTCCAGGTACCAACAGCCCTGTCGGGACAAACTGCTGGGGCTCTGGCTGCCTGACAGCTCCAACCATCCTAAACCCCAGCTCTTCCCACTGTTCTGCTGCAGTTTCAGAGACCCTGTAGCTGTTCAGTGGTGAACTCCTTCTTTTGAGGATGGCTGCAACAGAGCTGCTCTTAAAGGGTCCCATAAGTTACAAGTGATGAGTATGGACCTGTGTCCTGAAGAAACTGTGAGCTGTGCTCAGGAGGATCATGGGGTCTTCAGCTTCCTCAGTACTGGGAGAGCCCTTTGAAGCCTCCACCCCGCTACGTCCCTGCCTGCAAGCACCCTCCTGGGGGCAGCCCCCGGGAAGTGAGTGTCCCTGAGCTTCCTCTGTCTTGCTGGGTGTGCCTGAAGGAAGGTGACACAGCCTTAGTGCTTTGGATAGTTGTCATTGGAAGCCTACTAACGGGGACGTATAACGGCACTACTGAAGTCGATAAGGAGATTTATCGGAAGAAGAGCAATTCCAAGCTCATTTCCTTCCTGGTGGAAGGCAACAGGTTGTGCCTGTTTCAGCACTGTTTGGCAGAAGGATTAAAGTATCTGTCTGG